GCTTGCGGGGACGCGGGCGGCGGTTTGCGGGGCCGAGGAGGGCGGCTTGCGGCGGTGTCCAGTTGATTATCTCTGAACCGCGGCGCTAGGCGTTTGCGTACCGCGGCACCAGCGGAGCAGCCGCCCCGACGGAGGGTGCCGCCCTAGGCAAACGCCTAGTTTGCCTTGCGGTAAATACGCCCCTGCAAACAAGATCTAAATGCACTCATGCAATGAAACACCCAAGCCAGATTGGTGACCTCAGTTTTGTCTGCTGCAGTTAAGCAAATCAGCTTGGTCGCCAGCCCGTAAGAGGGGGAATGAGCACACAAATCAGGTCACCACTCACCTCCTGGCAGCATGTTCAGAATGAAAAACACAAAGTGTACAGCTCACCCCTACCATGCGTCTCTGCAATCCACATTTGGTGCACGGATGACTCTCTTCTGGAGTGATAGGCTCAAAAACTGTGCAACCAGCACATGATAATCTTCCAAAGAAATTCAACCTTTATTCCACATGCATCTGTACAAAGCACAACCGCTTACGCTTTTCTGCCTTACTCGGCCTTAGCCATAGCTCTGTACAGATGCATGTGGAATAAAGGTTGAATTTCTTTGGGAGATTATCGTGCGCTGGTTTCACAGTTCATGTTCAGAATTTTGCGTGACAGCACTGTGCAAACTAGCAGAGCCCCGATTGGCTCAAAGTTCTGCCCCTCCCTCTTCCAATCTGAGCACTGCTGTGCAGAGAACTGTAGGACACTGATATCAGGACAGATTTAGGTACCTATTCTCGCTCCAGCTAAGACTATGTCGTACATTATTTTTTAATTAATCCAATATCTAGATTACATTTTTATATTGGAACTTCATAGGGTTCATTTTTAATATTAAAGCAGTCTCCAGTAGTACAACCTACTTGTACAAGTTGTTTTCCTCCAATGGGCAACTAGAGAGGCTTAACCGAGAAGGCAGTAGATGTGGATGTAAACAATATTGCATTTATTAAACCACAATACCCACAGGAAGTATGTGAACACACAAGCCAAGTGTCTGTTTTGTGTCAAGTTCTTCT